TGCATTCTAAGAACTTTTGTTGGACTTCAGCTTTCAATCGGCGTCATCTCTGTCAACAAGTCTGTCATTGACAAATTTTAAGACTTCTCTGCTTAATGTTTTATGGTTCTTGTCATATTCCCAGAAACAGAACTTTAGAACAAATTCACCTTTCTTGTTTACACTATGTAAGATTTTATGGTCGACAGATGTTTTGCTGTCAAAAAGCTTGTCTCGAATATAGATAGCGAAATCGCTAGACATTTTCAAAAAGATAAAAATTTTAATTTTTCTAAAAATATGTTAGAAAAAAAGTTGCTGACATTGACAAGAAATTTGAGAATGTTTTAAACAAGAACAAGAGGAAGTTAGAAAATGCTCAGATAAAGCCTATACATGACAAGTTCTTATTTGCTCAGAATGGTATAACAGGTCTAATTGCACCACCTGGGTCGGGTAAGACTTTCACTTATCTTAAAATGGCTGCACAACAACAAGAACTAGATGAGAAGAACCCATTTTATGAGTTAGTTGTCATTTGTAGTACTTCTGGTCAATTTGACCAAACCGTCAATTCGTTCAAAGATATTATAAAAAAGTCTAAGTTAGTATGTATAAAAGACTCTGAGTTGTTAGATTGGATAAAGAAGTACCAAAGAAGAGTTTTGAAGTATAATGCTATAAATGAGTATATAAATTCGAAGTTTAAAGACCCTAATGAGGAAATGCAGAGAATATTAGAGAAGAAACACTTCAGAAACAAACAGAAAGAGATAGAATACATTTCGAAGAAATTGCAATCTTACGATTGGAAGACTTACCCTCATAGATGTCTTCTTATCTTAGATGACTTTGCTTCTCATCCTTTGCTTAAGAATAGAGAACAAGATATGTGTCGAATTCTTAAGAAGCTCAGACACTTTAACATCTCAGTTGTCATTTGTGTACAGACAGCAAAGAGTTTAAGTAAGGATGTTAAAAGAATACTTACTGACATTGTATTTTCCCCGGATTGTCCGAAGACGATTTCATGGAACTTATGAAAGAGTCCATGGCAGGTAAGTTTGACAGACATGAACTATGGGAGAAGTACAAAGTCATACAAGACCCTCATACTTCTTTCAGAATTCATATCTACGCGAACAAAGTTCAAATTGTAAAAAGTCAAGCTTGAAAAATAAAGAGTTCATCTACCCTACTTGTTTGAAGTTGTCAAAATACTCTGTTATTTTTTCCTTTAACAATGGCAAATCTTCTTTGAAGGTAAGTATTGTACAACCTTTCATATCATAGTGTGTTTGAGGTAACGTATCTTGAACTATTTGTTTCACATCTTCATTTGGGTCATTGAAATCGGTAAGTTTTCGCGATAGAACCAATTTCTGTCAGATTTGTAAATCTTAGCAAGGTCGTAAAAGCTTTTGTTGTTTCTTCTGACTAAATGCAACATAACCATATCTTTATCTTCTTCATTTTCCATCTCTTCAGTATAAATCATATACTTATAGTTCTTTTCCTTACCTTTTGGTACCGAACGTGGTATTCTTTTCTGAATGTTTTTGTCTTTTGCTTCAATGACTTCATCTTTTGCTTGAAGTTTCTTTTCCATCTCTTCACGTTCTTGTCTATGAATTTCGTCAAGAAGTCTGTAAATATACCAAGCATAACGAGGCGAAGCCCACATTGCAACAGCATTTACAAGAAGTCTATGTACATACCAACCTCTCAAACCATTTGGCAAATTTTTACGATTTTCATGAGTTTTAGGCGACCCCGAAAAAAGTCGGTCTCGCTGTGCTTCGCTCAAAAGTTCTTGTGTGCTTTGGTTTTTGAACCAATCGTCTGTATGTTTGGTATCTGGAGCAAAACATGCTGTCAAAATACTTTGCATTTGGTACATGTCATCTTTGACTGAACGAATGAGACGGAGTTGTTTGTTAAACTGTATGTACTCATATTCTTCATTTATAGCTTCATGGACTATAACTGTTGTTGTGTTCTCTGTTGTTGACATATCTGTCTTTACATACAAAATAAAAAAATAAAAAAAAATAAAATTAGCGTTATTTTCTATCTTGTATAAAAGACCAAAAATAAACGCTTTACATGTATTTTTCAGCAACTTCGTCAAATACTTTTATAGCTTTATCTATCTCATCTACTTCAAACGTTTCTTTACCTTTTATGGGAGCACCATACATTTTCTCAAACTTTTCAAGTAGTTCTGTTTCAGCAGCTCTCATATCGTTAACAAACACAACCTTAACTCTATTGACTATACTGTCATATCTTTGAGTTATATTAAATGTTCTTCCTATCTTATATCTCTTTGTATTGAAGTCCTTCGGTTTCTGAACGATATAAAGTAAGCCTTCACTGCAACGTTCCGTATCGAATGAACCATATGTTATGAAATTATATCCAACAACTGGGTCTAACCATAACAAAACTACTGGTATAAGACTTTTGTCTATAAGATATGCTCTTGTTCCATAGAATCTTACTGATATCATAAGCTCAGGATTTTTTGTCAAAATTTTCTGAGTAGAAGCATTTTTAACCCAGTCGTGTGCTTTCTTTCCTTCAGATAGTGTTAAAATGTCTGACAAAGAATATTTTTTGTATTTCTTTGAGTATCTTACGTTTAAATCACCAATTCTAACCACTTTGGTGTCATTGTCTATCTTTTTAACTGTTTCAAACTCAATGTTTGACATTTCCTGTTCTTACATACAAAATAAAAAAAAATATTTTAAAAAAACTAGCGTTAATTTTATTTTTTCTATCTTAAGGAAATTCATGATTTTCATGAGTTTTAGGCGACCAGGTTTTTTTCCCTACTCGCTGTTCTTCACTGTTTTCGTACGGAATCTCTTCTCTCGGTTTTCGAAGGGAAGCAATCTTATGCCATTTTACTCAGATTTTTGTGCTGAATTCAGCAAAAATATATTTTATGTTAGAATGTTAGATCTAACATGTTTTCTAACACGTTTTCTAACATGGTCCAAAACATACAAAACTCATGAAATTTCATGACTTCTTCGTAAATGTTTTGTCAAGACTTCTTCGTAATGAGCGTAAATCAGACAAAAATAAAGTTTATGTTAGAATGTTAGATCTAACACGTTTTCTAACACGTTTTCTAACATGGTCCAAAACACACAAAACTCATGAAATTTCATACGGAATTCAGCAAAAATAATGTTTATGTTAGAATGTTAGATCTAACACGTTTTCTAACACGTTTTCTAACATGGTCCAAAACACACAAAACTCATGAAATTTCATACGGAATTCAGCAAAAATAATGTTTATGTTAGAATGTTAGATCTAACATGTTTTCTAACATGTTTTCTAACATAACTATTTACAAGCGTTTTACATGGTATATGTTGCGATGGTTCATGACTCTAAACAATTTCGTAGCTTCTATTTCTTCTGTCAGTATGTCAAAAGTTTTAACGATACCGAAGGTTTCTTTATATTTCTTCTTGACGTCAGATAGAAGGAAATCTTCTGCTGTTGGATAGTTTTTGTTCAGAAATGCTAACATGTTCATTTTATCTTCTGCTGGCTTTTCTGCTTCTTTCTTTAAGTCTGCATAGTCGTTTCTCATACGTTCTATCTCTTTAACGGAGTAGTTATATTTTCTTATTGCTGCTTTACATTTAGAACATTGCGGGTTCATTTTTGCGTTATATTCTGAAACCTTACCTGCAAGTATGACTAAAGCGTCAATTGCTCTCTTCATCTCAAACATAGCGGGTCTTATTTGTTCGTTCCATATTTTACATCTTTTATCTTTATCTCTTATCTGCCAAACACATTCAGCAACTAACGAAACAAAGTTGTCGTAGGTCTTAAATTCTTCAGATTTGTAAAGGTCAGAAACATTCTTATATACCATGTCGCAATCTTTGTCCATAACTTTATGGTTGCAATGAAATCCTAGAAACTCATAGTTTACCTTTCGTATGAACTTCTTTATTTCTACTGAGTCAGTTGCTTTGACTTCTATTTCATCGAATTCTGGAATAGTGAGTTTTTGTTGTTGGATTTCAGGAAGTTTAGGTAGATGGTCAATAATATCCTGCATTTCATAAAGATACTGTTCATTTGTTTCATTCTGTGCGGTACAGTCTAAATTACATGTTAAAAGTTCTTGCTTTATCTTCTGGATTTTTGTTTCGAAAGTATATGAAGAAGGAATGAAGTTTTTCATCTCTACTAACATAGATGTTGGATTCATGACTAAAGAGTTTGGTGCTGTTGTTGCTAACATGTTCTTACAATAAAAATAAAAAATATTTTTTTTAAAAAACTAACTTTATTTTTTATTTCGGGAAAATTCATGAAAATTCAAGAGGTTAGAAAACATGTTAGAAAACATGTTAGATCTAACATTCTAACATAAACTTTATTTTTGGGTGTAAATTTCATGATTTTCGAGAGTTTTAGACCATGTTAGAAAACAGGTGAGAAAACATTTACGAAGAAGTCATGAAAATTCAAGAGGTTAGAAAACATGTTAGAAAACATGTTAGATCTAACATTCTAACATAAACTTTATTTTTGGGTCCTTTACACTCATTACGAAGAAGTCTTGACAAAACATTTACGAAGAAGTCATGAAAATTCAAGAGGTTAGAAAACAGGTGAGAAAACATGTTAGATCTAACATTCTAACATAAACTTTATTTTGGGTGTAAATTTCATGATTTTCGAGAGTTTTAGACCATGTTAGAAAACATGTTAGAAAACATGTTAGATCTAACATTCTAACATAAACTTTATTTTTGCCGAAAAAAATGGTTCATTTACTCACAATATTTTTGTACAAAACGACCCCAAACTTTTAACTTCTTTTCTGCAGCTTCAAATGCTATCTTAGCGAGTTCATATTCTCTAAATTCTCTCTTTAAATCTTCTTGTTCCCATTGGTCTAGTTCGTATGGAGAATCTCTATAACCATAATATATCTCACGTTCATGTTCTAATTGTTTTTCACACATTTTTCCAACTTCTTCTTCAAACAAAGGTTTTGCATTCTCTACTGTATCTTCAAGTTCTTCTTCATCTAATTTCTCATGAACTTTCTTGTCTATGGAGTCCATAATTTTTCCAACTGCTATACAATATTTTGGAGAAGCCCACATTGCAATATAGTTTACGAGTCTTGGGTCTACATACATTCCTCTAACCTGTTTGATTTCATCCGGAATTCCTGCATGAACTTTGTATAAAAAGCAACCCGCCGTTTTCCGCGGGTTGGTATATTCTTCACAAAATGCCTTAAAATACTCTTCCCAGGACTTATTTTCCAACAACCTTCTAAAGTCTTTCCTAAACTGCTGACACATCTTTGTTGCATTTATATAACCATCCTTGTCTCTACGTAAGACTTCAATACCGTTGTAAGTGCCTTTTGTGAATGTTTCGCCATTAGATTTGTTCGTGAACGTTTTTGCTTCGACTGACATTTCTGTTCTTACAATAAAAATAAAAAATATTTTTGTGGCTTAACCGTCGGACATTGTCTTGAAACAGTACAAATATTGTCTTGAAACAGTACAAATATTGTTCTGAAGCAGTGCAAATATTGTCTTGAAACAGTGCAAATATTGTTCTGAAACAGTACAAATATTGTTCTGAAAAAGTACAAATATTGTTCTGAAAAAGTACAAGTCTTGTTCTGAAAAAGTACAAGTCTTGTTCTGAAACAGAAAATTTTTCTCACAAATTGAGAGCTTTTACGGGAAATTTGTTCTGAAAAAGTACAAGTATTGTTCTGAAAAAGTACAAGTATTGTTCTGAAACAGTACAAGTATTGCTCTGAAACAGTACAAGTATTGTTCTGAAAAAGTACAAATATTGTTCTGAAGCAGTGCAAATATTGTTCTGAAGCAGTGCAAATATTGTTCTGAAGCAGTGCAAATATTGTTCTGAAGCAGTGCAATGGACAACATCGAGCCACATTCAATACTTTTTCAGCACTTCTCCGTAGTTGTATATGAAAGACAATTCGAGATAAAAGTCATAGTACAATGGTATAATATGCTGCACACCGTTTGTTGTGAACCAAACTTGAAAGTCAGAGAAACTGTTACTAGGTGGTTCGTAGAATTTAGAGGTAAGGTCATAAAAGTCCTTACCAATACAAAGAAAACTGTTGTTGCTTGAACTGAAACTTGCATGACACATGACATTTTGAGGGTCGAACACGTTTCTATAAACTGTCAAATCTGCTGGTGGACGTATAAATTTAAACGGACCGTCAGGTGGCAATGGTTCGTTCTGGTTTAGTAACCGAAGAAATTGTGCCCAAGAACGTTTGTCTACTTCCCAAAATAAAAACTGTGTACTTCTTGGAGGGTTAATTTCAATCCTTTGAAATGAAACGGTGGAATTCATCTTGTTGTATTCTAGTTTTAGATAGTATGTTCCATTTAGTAAAGAGTCGTATTTTTCTTGAAATTCCCAGTAGTATTTGTTTATTTGAGTTTGAAAGTCATTTAGAGTTTTCTCAAGACTTTCGTCTGAACGAATTGTAAAGATTCTCATTTCGTCAAATTTGTCTATTAGACCATCAGAACCTTTATATTGCCCATGAAAATATACTGCGAACATAAATGCGTTAGTTCTTTTTGAAAACAAAACTCTTCTAAATCCTATTGCCTTTGCATCTGAAGGACTTTGAAGCCAACGAATTGGATAGTCAAACCTGTATACTCGGGATGAAATTTCTTCATCTGATATAGTCCTGCCAGCGTTTGTAAAGATATAGTCTAACGGTTTTGTATCTGCTACTTTTGTTCTTTGTTTTTCAACCTGAAGCATTTCATATATGTAAAAATATACTGTTTTAAAAACGTTTTAAAATGGTATGCCATATAGCTTCTTGAATTTGTTAAGATATAGTCTAACGTATTTTCCATCTGTATCTCTAGCGTTTACATAAGCATAGCCCGCCTTAGTAAAACATACTTGTAATTTCCTATAGTTTACGCCGGTATAAAAGTAGAAAGAGTCTTGTTCTTCGCTATAGTAGTAAAACTCAAACGTATGCTTGCCATAGTCTGTAATTTCAATTGTTTCATCTTCTAGTTCGTCGACAAATTCGAATACAATATCTCCAAATTTGCCTTTGTTCTTATTGTTTTCAGAACGAGTGACCCAACGTAAGTTTTCAAGTCTATTGTCGTTTCTTATACGGTTTATATGGTCTACAAAAGGTAAATTGTTAGGGTTCGGTATAAAATGAGTTGCAATGACAACATGTTTAAAATAGTGTTTTCCACCCATCTTCATAACAGCATATCCGTTATTTCGCTCCCATTCGCTTAAAACTCTTTTTGTCTTTTTGTTTCTGACTTCAAATGACTCACAACAGTGAATTTCATATTTCTCATCTAACAAACAAGTTTCCCAACGGTCTTCTCCAACAAACTCAGCGTACATTTCAAATAAAATAAAAAAATATATTTTTTAAAAATATTTTGTTTTAAATGGTATGCCATTTCATATTTCTCATCTAACAAACAAGTTTCCCAACGGTCTTCTCCAACAAAACTCAGCGTACAGTTCAAATAAAAATAAAAAAATATTTTTTTCTTTACTTTACATAACCGCCTGCTGCCATAAGTCTTTGACGCCAACCCATACCAGCTAATGAAGGTTGACTTGGTTTAGTTTGGAAACTAAACTTTGGTTTTGGTTTATCTTCAGTTTTTGGCTCACCTTCTTCTATCGGTTTTTCGTCACTTTTCGGTTCACCTGACTTTACTTCACTTGCAGGTATGGTTGTGTCGTCAACATCTTCATAAATATCATATGCCATCTGTTTTTGTTTTCCTTTCAACTTTTTGTGTTTGTTGTAAAGTTTAGAATATTTCGACTCTAAGTCAATGAGATGTTCTATAATGAACTGTTGATCGGTGAAGTAAACTTTTCCATCTGTTGTCTCGAAAGCTCCTTCAGACTTCAATATTTTATTTGTGAGAGTCTGTTTCTTTTTTGAGATACTAGCCGTTCCATTTCTATGAAAAGTGACTTTGTAGTTAGGGTTTGTATTTCCAGACCTGGCACTTTCTATTATTGAATTTTTCTCTTCATCTGTAAGTTCTTTGACAGGTTTTGACAATGGTTCTGAACTTTTTGTTTGTGGTGTCAAATCTACCGTTTCAACTTCTTCGGTCATTTCATCTCAGTAAAAAATTTTAGTTTGGTTTGTTTTCAACTGGTTGTTTAGGTTTTTTAAGTCGGTCTAAAACTTCCTGAGGTATAGGAAGAACTTGACAAACACGTTGTGTAACTGCTGGAAGTCGACAAATCCATCTTGAACCCATTTGTCTCAATGCTGTATTGTTCATTTCATCTCAGTAAAAAACTTTACATTCCCCAAGTTTGAGGTGGTTGCGGTTGGTTATTGTTTACCCACTGTTGTGCATGGTTATATCCTCTGTTAAAGAATCTTTCACCTTGGTCCATATAGTGTCCTGCTTGGTTATAGTAGTCATTTGCTTTGTTATAATAGTTTCCTGCTTGTCTTCCTACATTGTCCATCCATCCTTGAACTTTTCCTCTTGTTTCAGGATTTGGAATAAGATTTGCTGCATCTCGTGCTACATCCCAACCTTTCTGTACAGTTTGTATAATAGGTTGTGCTTTCTCTTTAAGTATACCTAATGTACTCAAAATCTTCCTTCCAATTCCAAATGCACCTCTGGCTATTGTTCCCACTGCGGGCAAAAATCTGGATGCAACTCCTGCTAATGCGCCAAATAAACCCATTTCTTATGGGGTAAAAATGACGAATCCAAACAAGGACCCGTATGTTTCTAAAGCAACAAAGAAAGCACTCATGGTAAAAATCTTTAGTTCAACACCAAATGCTTGGTTTATGGATATCTTGGAAAACATTCCGAGGTATAGAGAAGATGGACCACCATACTGGCTAATATTTGTCGGTCAAAACACAAGATACTGTGAAGCCATACCATTACAGTCCAAAAATATTTTAGATGTGAAAACTGCTTTGACAATATTCGTTGACAAATACCATCCAACAAAACTGACATCTGACTGTGAAAGTTCTTTCAAATCAGATGATGTAAAAAACTATCTGCGTTCAAAAAATGTAAACCAATATTTCATTGTCGACCAAAACCATTCTGCTCTTGGTGTCATTGACAGTTGTATAAAAATCTTAAGAGACTTAAATCAACCACAAGGTGGTGAGGTAGATGAAATGTCATATGACGACAAATATAGACATTTCTCCCAGGCAAAGATGAGACAAGTTTTAAATATTTACAATAGCCGTAAACAAAAAGGTTTGGGAAACCACTCCCCCGAAGAAATGAAAAACAACCCCGACTTAGAGAAAGACTATATATTTAATAGTTTAGTCAAAAGAGACAAACAAGAAAGAATGCCAGGCTTCAAACTTAAGAAAGGTGACAAAGTAAAAATAGAAATACCTAAACGCGACCCATATGAAAATACTATTGACTATGACAACAATGGGAACTCGACAGGTACTCACATTCGTGTTCGTAAAAATAGAAGAAAGTATACAAGAGAATATTATGAAGTTTTAGGCAAACATGGCAAAATGTACAGACTGCAAGCAGAAGATAAAACGACTATTGTCAGACCTCGTTTCAAACTTGTCAAAGTTCAAGGTGGTATACTTTCAAAAACAGTTCCTAACAAATATAAGACAACTCCTGACGAATATGCTAAAGAAGTTGAAAATGACGACTAAGCAATTCTATACCATGCGAATACAGTCATGTAAGGTGGCATGTATTCTTTACTTTGTCCCGTTGTTTGCGTATATCCTGAAACGAAATGTGTATGGTTTCCTTCTCCCTGAGTGTCACTCCAGTAACAATTTATAGCAAACTTAACGTCGTCTTTAACATCATATCCTTTACCTTTTGTCATTCCTGACCAATCCCAATATCTATGCTTATGCCAACCTGCTTGAGATGTACTTAAATCTATGTAGTGACTGTGCGCAGGTAAGTTTTCACCTGAAATCGTTTTACTTCCACCTGTTTCCTTTGAAGAGTTTGCACAATACAAAAACCTGTCGACTATTTGTTCCCATGCACCAACACCAAACATTACTTGAGGACCTTCTGCTTCCATTGACGTATAAATAGAACCTACTGGGTTCATTAAATCAAACATATGAGATATTATAGGATTGTCTCTTTTGAACTTAAAATATAGTGCAACTATTTCAGGTTTCTTCTGGTTTGTGTCAGAATATTTTTTATAATATAATCTTATGTTTTCAGGGTAGGTAAAGTCTTGACTATAATATTTATTTCTGTCATCTTCATAATAGTATACTATTCTCGTTTTTTCTATTGCATTATATCTTTTATATCTATAATAATCTAAATATAATGTTAGCTTTTGTTCATCTACATGTGGTGTTCTGACGTCATCTCCATAGTCATAATAATATGGTGCTGGAGCTGGGTCAGGCAATGTCATATCTGCCATTTCATAAACTCTTAAATATTTCTTTTGTTCGTCTCCATATAAGTTTAAGTAGCAGTTGTTGTCTAATGGAACTTTAACTTGTGTACCATCATTCTTTTTATAGCTTACATACATTTCATTGTTATTTTTCGGAATGAGTTTACACCGTGTACCATTTTCTAAGGACTGTACCAACTGCCATCTAAAATATTTGTTTTCTTCATTGACAGAAAAGTCACCAACAATAGTTTCAATATTTTTTGTTCCTAGCAAACTTTGGTATATTTCATTGACATATGTTTTATCTGCTTTATTTTCAAGGCTAACGTTTAAGTCTGTTATTTCAGAAGATGTATGTGTATGTCCAACGGCACTTTTCCTGTTTAAGGTTTCTTGTAAGTTTGTAATATTTGCAATGGTATGTGTATGTCCAACGGCACTTTTACTGTTTAAGGTTTCTTGTAAGTCTGTTATTTCAGATATAGAATGTGTATGAGTCTTTTTAGAATATTCGTTTTCAGCTCTCGTCACTTCACTTGACATTTTATTGTCAACATATGTTTTGTCTGCTAGTTCAGGATGAGTATGTTCTTTTGTTGCATATGTTGCATCTGCTCTTTCTTCTTCTTTTGCTATTGCATCGTCTACATATTCTTTGTCAGCTTTGTTGCCAACATCTGCTTTCAAAAGAAGTTCATTTATAGGTTTCTCGTTTAAAGTTCCTTTTGTTGGATTTATACAGACAGTATGGTTCTTATTGTCTTGAAACAGAAACTCATCTGTCATTGGGTTTAATGTCAGTTTTAAGTTTCCTTCTTTCAATGACTCAGATATCTTAGAATAGTTTGAAAAGTTTGTTGTGTTCTTATTTAGAGCTTGTATAATGAGTTGTCGGTTGTGTTGTATTTCTCTCATAGACGCTGTTTCATTTGACATTTTTATTCTAGATAAAATATGCTTTCAATAGAAAAAGAAAATTCAAGAGTTGCTACAACTAAACCATTAGATGAACTTTTTACGAATGTCGGTCAAAAGTTTGAGACAGAGACCGTAAAGCATGAAGGCTATCGTTTTGACTACCCGTTAAGATGGTTAAGAGACCCATCTGTCACAAAAGCTATTGGCTTTCGTAGAATGAAGTTCATTTCAGAAGCCATACATGGTTTCCCATTTACGGTCGGTTTTGAAGTTCGATACTATAACAAAGAAAAACGTATGTATGAGAAATTTGAACAGGGAAAACTTTTACAAGTGAATTTGCTTGTAAACTTAGAAACAACTCTTCAAGCTTTTCAAGAAAAAATAAACGATATCTATATCGAATATGCAAACCAGTTTAACATTGACGAAGGAGAGTACCATCTCGATATTATATATGACAGGAAAAATGCAACTGTTAAATTCAATAAAATAGAAGACCTTGGAGAAAACGTTTATATTTCTACAAAATATAACAACTTGGCATGGCATAGATTTTTGAGGATGTTAAATCAGCCTGCATGGTATCCAGTACACCCGGACTATTATGAAGTCTCAAACCCTAATGGAACATATGAAAATGTTTTCGACTCTGACGCTATTATAGTTCATGCTTCATTTTCTGGTGCACAAAACTCTTTTTTATGCTTGGCAAATGACTTTTACGAAAAACCTACAAAGCTATATGAACCGCCGAGTGGAAGTATTTCAGACTTTCAAGTATGGTTTACAACAGATGGAAGAAAGAGAATAGTTCCATTATACCATGCGTTTTACTTAGAACTTAGTTTCATATACAACTACTATCGAACGGTAAAAATATAATTTTAATACGGTTGAGGTGTTGGATTTGGTTGCCAACTAGACTGTGGTGCAGGTTCAGGCTGTTGTATAACAGGAGCTTGTTCTTCTGGTTCAGGGTCTTTAGGTATAATACCAACGAACTGACCTACTCTTTTACCAATATTTTTGACTCCGTTCCAAATTCCTCTTCCTACGGTTTATATTCCATTCCATATACCTCTTCCAACATTTCGAAAGAAGTTTCCTATTCTTCCAAAGAAACCCATTTTACTATATGTAAAAATCTAATGTCCGCCTAGTCTCTTACGTTTCCTTCTGAGTTCCATAGCATTTTTTAACTGGAGCTCATACATTCTATTTCTCCTCTGGTAGAAAACATACTCTGGGTCAACTCCTGTGTTCGCGTCATCTGCATAGAGTTGTTTATATCCCACTTCAGGGTTTGTATAAAACTCTTTCCATCTCATATTTGCATACCATGGTGGCAAACCTAACGCAGCGTCATTTGACATGGCAGTTTGCATTTGTACATCTGTTGGCACTTGACCATAGTTTGCCATTGCAGTTTGTATTCTAACTTCATTTGGAATATTCTCTGGGTTTGGTTGTCCAGGTTGCTGTGCATTCGCTAAGTTCTGTGCGTCCATTTAATATTAGATAAAAATATCTCTTACGAGTACATATACTGGACATTTGCAGGCATTGGTTCATCTTCATATTCTCTGTACTTTTCTGCCACGTCAAATAAATAAATGACACAATGGAAAAAACCTAAAACAAGTAGTCCTATTTCAAACCACATTTACTTACTAATAAAATTTCTTTGTTATGACACTTTCTCCAGTTTATAGGACCTCTCTCATATTCTATCTTGTCATATCTAAACTCATAGTCATGTATGTCCTCTAACCATCTCATAACGGTTTCCAAACCACTTTTATCGGATGTAAAGTAAAAGCATGGATGGTTATGTAAAACGTCTAAAGTTTCTAAAGAGTCTCTCAAAGTCCAGTCTACTTGGTATTGAAAATCCCATGTGTTATAGAACGGTGGGTCCACTATAAAGAAAACATTTTCCTTGTCTTTATATTTTTCATACAACTCTGTCCAATGACATCTCACAAACTCTATACCCTCAATATATTTTTCTATGTCCTCTTTGAAAACATTTGTATAGTTAAGATATAAAACTTTTGACATAAGTGTTTCAATGTCATGAACTCTTATAGCACCACTATATAATAGTCTAGCAGATATACTATTCCAGTCTATATATTCTGCTTTTTTCAAAACCTCTCTCACAATATTTTTCTTATCTAATGGTATACGTTCCATCTTACCTATAGGTATCTTTTCTTTTAACTCTTTCAATATATTGTTTGTGTCTGGTATATGTTTGAGACGGTCCATATAGTTGTCGAAGTCATTGCATATAATCTTTGAGTCTGGGAATATTATATGGCACAAATGGGATATATAGAAACTTCCACCGAACAAATCTACAAATGTTAGACCATTCGGTAGTTTCTTAAGTTCTCTCAATAGAATATCTTTACATCTACTCTTATTTCCAAAGAACGGTAACGGTGGTTTTGTAAAATTCATTTATATATAATAATAAAAATGTTTTTCCCTGAAAAGTGACAGAAAAGTGACAAAACATGAAAACATATATAATTTGTGAAAAGCGACACATTATATAATGTTTTCGACCCAGAAGAAGGCTTCTTCCCAGAAGCAATGGAGGAAGAAGAAGAGTCCTCCGAATAAAAACTTCATTTATACTAAACATCAACATCAGGGCTAGAAGGCACGAAGTGCCTGGAAGCCCCACTACCTTTTTTTTTTTTTTTTTTTTTTTTTTTTTAATCACGAAAAACATAGCAAAAGTAGTTTGATTCTCAAAAGATAATAAATTTAATTTTCCAAATTTAAAATTTACATTTGAGTCTTTTAACTCAAATGTCATAAATTTCAATTCTTAGCATGAAAATAAACGCTTTTTAAAATTCTCGCCTGTTCAAGGACATATGCGGGGTTGAATTCAAGAAAAATAAAAAATTATAGCTGCCATAGTTTTTCAAAATTTGATAAATGATATAGTATTACACTTTATACTGATTGATTTCTAATTTGAGTGGTAAATCTCAAATTTCAACAGTTTACGAAGTAGCCAGCGACAGGAATATTTCAGATCAGAGGAAACATCACAATATATAGATATAATATCTTAAGTGAATTATAGCTGCCATAGTTATAATTTTTTGATGCAGACAAGTCCATGGTTAACTTGAATTGCCAAATACTACCACATATACTTTAATATATAAGTGTACATAGTATCTGAATTACTATTATAAAAATGTTTTATTATAAAAATAAAAAAAATTCAACTTGCAATCATATTAATATGTGTGACTCTATGATCAAGCATATAATATTCACATTCTTTTCCTGTTGAAATGAAGCATTTTCGAAATAACGATGCCTAGATCTCTTGTCTTCTTCATATCAATATCATAAAATTGAAAAACAAGCTTTAAACATTTCTATCATAATTATATTTGTGAAATTCTTTAAAATATAAAATCTAATAATAATCAAAGTCATCATCACAATAAAAATCATCATCACAATAAAAATCATCATCATTATCAAAGTCATCATCATTATCAAAGTCATCATCACTATCAAAGTCATCATCACAATAAAAGTCATCATCATTATCAAAGTCATCATCACAATAAAAGTCATCATCATTATCAAAGTCATCATCATTATCAAAGTCATCATCACTATCAAAGTCATCATCATCAGAATGAAAGTCATCAACACAATAATCATTAATAATATGGTCATTATAAACTCCTTGACAGAAATAGATCTCCTCATAAACTTTATCTTCAGGATAGTCGTGAAATGTTGATTTTTTGATTTCGCCCTTAATATTTCCAATAATGTTGTATTTGTCATTTTTTAACATTACTGTAATAAGTTCATCATTGTTATTATTAATGGCTCCATTGTATAGTTTCTCGCCAAGTTCTTTATTTGAAATTGGTTTATATTTAAGAACTAATTCGATGATTTCATTGTAATATTCTTTATCCTGACCTGAAAGGTGAACAGCTATAAATAATGGATCAAGTTGAATATCAGTTTTAGGATCATAATATATTCCTTTATCAAGCAAAAATTTAATAAATTCTTTGTCTGATTTGAATATTACTGCAATTTGAAGACAACTATATATCTTTCCATCGATATTAATACTTTCTTCGAAATCAGAAATATACTTGGTCATGAATTCAAAAACGTCCTTATTATAAAATCTAATTAGATAATATAAAATAGGGCGACAATCTTCTGTATGTTGTGGAAGATCCTGCTTGTCAAGGAGTTTCTTAACAACTTCTACTGATCTTGATGCAATTGCACTCATATAAAATCCATATTGAATCGAATCTAATTTATCAAGTAAAAAATTCAGGATTCGAAGAGATTTGTTAAGAATTGCGCATTTGAGATGTTCAGTAATGTTCTCATAATTGGGGAAATTTTTCTGATATATTTCAAGAAGATCTTCTACAATAATCAATCTAATATCTATATGTGCTTTATCTAAATATGATTCAAGAAAGTAGTACAGATCAAGAAACTTCTTCTCAAGTGCAAATTCAAATGCAAATGGTGTGATTTGGAACTTGCGATCTGTTGCATTCAATTTCAACTTGATATCTGGATTATAAAATTTATCATAATACTCTTTGTCGAAATATATGAATTCCATCAAAATTAAAGGAATTCCTTCATGTTCGAAATTGATTTCATCTTTTCTTTTCAGTATTGATTCAAGGGCGGAGATATTTGAGGATTTAACAATAAAGAAAATGATCGGTTCACCGCTCGATGTCATGAAATTCACATTTTCCAATTTGTTAAAAAATTTTTCAAATATTTGAGGATCTTTGATCCTTTTCACAGATTCTTCAATAACATTTTCAAGAGCCTTTTGGTCGACATTAAAATTGTCAATGATATATTCAAATAGTTGGATGTTTCGAATGTTTTTTGAAAAAGAATTTAAATCAGAACAAATGACTTCTTGAATACTATCCTTTAGTTCATCTAAAATGTTTTTGTTGAAGTATTTGTCAAGATAATATATTAACTTTTGAAAGTAACAATCTGGTTTTGTAACAAGTTTTTTTGACTTTATTAATTTGATGATTTCTAATGATTGAGATTCAATCGAATAAATCAAAGCCTTATAATTCACTATATCTATAACATTGACAAATGCTCTTATCAATTCAATCAATTGTTTTTCAATAACTCGATAAAAGCATGCCGTAAATGAAGATAACCTTGAATGTTCTCTGGTGATTGTTGCACCTTTATTGAGAAGGAATTCTGCCAATTCATAATCATGATTTTGGATTGCAATCATAATCAAAGATTGGCCGTTTTCATCTGAAAAATCCAAACTATCTACATGACTAATTAACTGATTTAATACCGCGAAATCTTTTTCAGAATACTTTGATTTATTAAGCAAATTGATAATTGTTTGTTGATATGATCTAGAATTAAATTGATATGTTTCCAATAAATACAATATAATATTGTAGTTATTTTTCGATGAAGCAAAATATAATGCCGAAAACCTTTCAAAATTAAGATCAATATTATTTGCAATCAACATTTTTGTCACATCTTTAATAAAATCATCTGTTGTGTTCAAAAGTTCATTGTATAATTTTTCATGCTGAATGTTTTGAATTCCACCTTTTTTAATGAAGATATTCAAAATATCCATTGATTTTAATTTGAGACAATATTCAATTGGTGTCAATTCTTTGTAATATATATTTGGATTTGCACCGTGATCAAGTAATAATTGAATCATTTCAGGATTGTTTTGATCGATGACCATAAACAGAGTCTTCTCACATTTATTTGGATCAGCTCCTAATTCAAGTAAATATTTAATCATATCAAAATCTGGCTTTTGGGCGTTAATTGCATAAATTAATGCTGTATTTCCTTCTGAATCAGTATCATTAATGCAAGAATGATAATTGTTGATTCTTTTGATTGTGCTTTTAGAAAATCTAAACAAAACTTTTGGAAGATCAGAACGATAATAGTTATAATCATATGGATGTTTGTTGATTAATGCTTCAATAACATCAATATTATAATAACGGAATACTTCATGATATGGATTGGAAAAAAGTTCTGATTTTGCAAAAGAAAGTCCGTTCTCTATCAAATATTTCATAATTTCATTTGACTTTCTCTGAATTGCATAATCAATCGAATACTCTTTATTGTTTTTATGTCGCCCATTTACTGGAACTCTACGTGAAACTAAATATTTGATAATATCAATTGATCCTGATTCAATTGCATAAAGAATTAATGGATGTCTTGTATGAAATCTCAGATTAGAATATTGACCTCCAATCATTTTAATAATATTCAAATTATGTGTTTCTAAAGCTTGAATGAACATATGTTTTTCGCAATTGATATAAACTGAAGCTCCAACTTGAAGTAAATACTTAACAAGTTCTTCATTTTCTTCTTGAACAGCCTTAAGTAATGGAGATAATTCATAATTCAGTTTATTATTTGTGTAAGTAATAATTCTATTAAAATCTGCTCCAGATTTAATCATATAAATTATTGCTTCATTATCTAAATATTCCATTGCTTTTAATATATTTACATTATTTAATGTTCCAACTCTTGAAACAATACCCTGGAAATCATTAAATGATAGTTTGGCTATTGCATCCAATGTAAAATTGTTATTTAAATTGACTTTTGCGCCCTTGGAGAATAATAAATCAATTAAAATTTTGTCATTACAACTAATTGCATATGTTATTAAGTCATCTTTATGTATTTTTACATCAGCTGGACAGCCATTATTTAACAAGAATTTAATAATTTTGTTTTGCTTTGAATCTACTGCAGTCTGAGCAAGCTTTTCAAAATTGATTTGGTTCTTTTGGATTCTCTCATATAATGTATTGAAAATTGAATTTTGTCTTCTTTTAATGCATACGTTTAGGTCATTATTCGAAATCTCAATATCATTGATATTTTTCAACAATAGATTTAATATATCAATTTGGTCTCTTCCGACTAAATATTGAATGATATTATATTCATTGAATGGCTTTGAATCCCATGAAGAAATTATTTTTTCTCTGTTTTGAAGAATAAGTTCAACTAAGCTAATGTTACATTTTTTGATACATTTGGCAAAATCTTTGGTTTCAATTGTATGACCATTGTTAATTTCACATTTTGCAAAATCTATTAAACCATAATCAAGAAAAGCAATCAATGGATTTCCGATTTTGTTTTGAATGCAAAAGCAAAATGCTTCTATATTTAAAAATTGTAAGCATAATTTTGGATTGATTGATGGACATTCATAATTAGAGATTATCCAATCAGCTATTTCATTTCTGTGGAATTCAATAGCCAATAGTAACTCATCTCCAAAATTATGACCAGTTTCGGCTAAAAGACTAATTATTTCTGTGTTTCCTGTAATAACTGCATATTGATAAGTTTCTTTTGTTTCTTTTGCACCAAGCATCTTAAGGTATCTGAAAATTTCAATATTCTCTTTTAAAACGGCACAATTAATTAGTTGTCCACTCTTTTCAGAATTATCAAACTGAAATTTGTCATCAATTAAGCTCTTGAAATCTTCGACTTGATTGTTTTGAATCATTTTTATTGCATTATCTATTGTATTCTGTTCGATATCGATATTTTTTCTTCTGAAAATTAGATTATTATGTAAACAATTGATTGATATCTCAAAATCGCGAAAATATGAATATGAGTTTGGGTAAATTCTTAGTAAATTTGGTTTGTTATTGATGTTGTACTTTATTTTGCATAATTCTTTTAATGGCATATCATTCCAAAATGATTTTCATAATTTTTCACTTTTATGATGTAATTCTGTCAAATAATCCTGGATTGAACATCCGCATATTGAATATATGTCCAGGTTATATGGTAATTTTGGAGCCATATGTGAAAAAAGAAATAATGAAAATTGAAATAATAAATTCATGTCTTATCAAAATTCACGTCTTACGTAATATTAAATAGAATTATTTTCGAACAAATTTTCACCATTACTCAATATCATAGAAAAGGATGAATGATATCATAAAAAAGAATGAATATCTGAATAAAATAAATATGTCATTGTGTACCAATAAAAAAGAAAGAATACAATCGTTGTTCAAATGTTAATAATCTATAAAAATGATTAGATTATTATTATTATATTCTAGGTGCTAATAATACGTCCTTAAATTTGAAAATTACGGATTAGAGCATGTGTATCAATATTAAACTATGTTTAATTTAAAATATTGCAAATTATCAAAAATAATAATTTTTGTTATAAAATACCATTAGTTTGTTGTTCCAAGATTTATGAATAACCTTTAAGTGTAATGTATAAAAACCTACGTTTCTTTGGATGTCTATTGTCACATGGTTGAATCCTGGTTAAAAGCTCATTATAGTTATTATTCTTAGCGTATTGTTCAACATTTAATTTATTATTGTTTAGCAATTCAATATCGGCACCATTTTTGAGTATGCCAAAAATCATGGCATTTAATTTCTTCAGATTTTCTCCTTTGGCAAGGAAAGCTGAAAGAATTAGCGGCTTTCTTCCTAGTTTGTCTTTCAAATTGATATTTACGTGTTTCCTCATTAAAATTTCAATGCAATCTCTCCCACTTACATTAGAAACAGCAACATGAAGAGCATTTTGACCATCATTATCAGTAATTGTAAAGCCCTGAATTAAATATTCCAATTCATGGAAAATTTCTTTTTTGAAATAAGCAGTAATTGTATATAATAGTTGCCATTGGAATTTATTTATTTCTTCCTGAATAACCCTCTTATGTTACTCCCTAACAATGTCAATTGATTTTGAACTAATGGCATCAAAAAAGCATTCTTCGGGTATATGGTCAATTACTTTCAAAAATTCTCTAACCAAGATAATTGATTTGTTTTGTATAACAATTGAAAAACATTCGTTAAATGAAGGATATGCTATATCATTTTTGGAAAGTTTAACTCCTTTTTGCAAGAGATATTCTGCAACTTTGATGTTTTGATTTTCAATAGAAGTAAGTAATATATTCTTATTATTGATATAAATAGGAATATGTTTTAAGTTATTAATATATCCTTGCAAATATTCCAAATCTTTTTCTTTAATACATTATTCTTTTAACCATAACACTAAACACTTATCTAAAAACTTTCGATCATATAAAAAGAATAGTAAATTTTGAATCATGTTGTACTTCTTCATTTCTATTGCAATTGTTAAAATTGATTTATGAAAGATTTGATTTTCAAACTCATGCATCACTTCTATTTTGAAACAATCAGATTGTGACATAAGTGCAGGGAAAAATCTTTCAAAAATTATTCCTTTCCTTGTTAGTGAATCAATTAAAATCTTTAAAATTTTTGAAGATTCTAATCTCAAAGAGTATTCGAATACAGATATGTTATCAGTGCATCTTACTGTGAGATAAATTTTATATTGAATCAAAAGTTTGATTAGTTCTTCATTAGCTGTGTCAATTGCAACGAAAGCTTTAAATCTGCATCTGTTTGGATCAGCTCCCAAATCTAATAGGAGTTTTATTTTATCAAGATTTGAACCGAAGTGTTTGATTGCGCAATAAATTGCGGTGTATCCATGTTTATCGATTGCATTGATGCAATTAAATTTCTGTTGTAATGATTTGATTGCAAATTCTGGGCATTGGCATAAATATTTTGGTAGAAATGAATAATTTGAAACATCGTAATAAATATTCAAATTTGGATTCATTATTAAGGAATCAATAACATCAATATGAAATCCTTTAAATATTTCCTTTTCAATATTCATGAATCTTGTTGATTTGGAAATGTCAACGTGATTATCTATTAAACATTTCATTATCTCGTCTGAGTGCATTTCAAATGCATAATCAATTGAATACACGTTGGTTTTTGCATTATAAGCATTCACGGAACAACCAATCGATAAAACATGTTCAATTAAATTTAGTTGCTTTGATTCTAACGCATATATAATTGGGGCTTTGCTGTATGTATTATTTGTTTTTGCACCACTATATATATCTATAATGATTTTAATTACATCAAAGTTTTGTGTTTCAAAAGCACAAATGAAAGGTGATTTTTCGAATTTGATATCCTGATTGATATCTGCACCTTTTTCTAACAAATGTAAAATTAATGATATATCTTTCTTTTCAATTGCATAAATTAAAGCGGACTTTTGAAAACATTCTTCAACTATTTTGTATGTTACAAATGAATTGACATTTGCTCCAATATCAATTATCTTTAATGCGTAAGATGTTTTATAAAACATAAAAGCATATATCAAAAATGGTATATTATTTGAGCCAACTTGAAAATCAATACATCGAATCTTTGAAATGACGAAATCGAAAAATTGTATTGGTAAATCACCCAAAATTTGGAGTGGCGATCTGTAAAATCAAAACTTATTTTGTCGTTGGAGTGATAAAAATAACAAATCTCTCATTTTCCATGTTTCAACTCTAAAATTGATTGAATTCTTTAATACTATGAAAGTACTTTGAGCATCATATTCCTTTGCAATTTGTAACATTTGTTTCCAATTAACATTAAATTTCTTGGGATTATTGCAAATAATGATAAAATTTACTTTTGCAACACATGTAGAAAAATGCTTGGCAATATAATTTTAGATTACTACTATAGATTAATTCCATGAATATTTCTTCTGATGTAAACTCTTCATCGATATCCTCCATAATTTTATACATCTTTAAATTCTGTACACAATCTAAATTTTCTAACCAATATCTAAGTAGTTCAACATCATTGGAATCGATATATGATGATAAATCAATATTTTTAATTTTGAAACCTTCTTCAATTGCATCCGTGGCCATATAAAACAAACCTTCTTCAATTATTTTTGAAAAACATAAAAATAAAATTATTATGATGATGACTGTTATTATTATGGTAATTATATAAAATTATATTTGAAACCTTCTTCAATTATGGTAATCAAAAACATAAAAAAATCCTTATCTAATCTTATATCTTAAATCTAAATTTGGATTTTGTTCTATCTAATCAGTAAAAATTTCTCACGTTAAAGACGATAACGATAAAATATCATCTAAAATAAACTGTTCAGTTTTTGGAATGTGCATGAGGAAATATGAATGATAACTAAAAAGCTAAAAAACTTTTAAATTTTTTTATATTAATTTTTTAAAATATAAATCAAAAAATTTGAATGCATTCAATTTTTAAATAGTATAGAAAATTTAAAACAAACAATATTTTTAATAAACAGATTCCATGTTACTGAATTCATCAGCGTATTTAAGAACATTTTCTGAGTTAAGTTCGATGTTGACAAATCTCAGTGTTGCAATTGATAATGCAACAGCACAAACACGTGAAATGTTAGATGCAGGAGCTGTTGGTTTGTAGAGTTTTGCTGAAGAACCTCTTGCTGCACCAAAAAGAATGAATTGCCACGCAATTCCGATTGAAAGGCCGTTCAAAAAGAAAACTTTCATCAGTGATGATGGGGAATATGCAAAATGATTACTTGCCTGCTTCAACAATGCAACTAAATTTGTAATTTCGTTGCAGTCGTTGATTTGCATCTCCAAACTGCTAGCGAAAACATACCATGGACTCCTCAGTTGTCTTATTGCGACGTTCGTTGGTAAAATGAAGTCTTTCGAGAAGAAATCGCAAATATAATGGATTAATAAAGCATATGCGTATTCATAGCACTGTTCGTCATCTGATGTGATTTGCATCTTAACAATACCATGAGACAAAAGAGAAATACGACCTTCAATAGTTTCTATCGGTATCGGTTTTGTGAAATTCTTCAAATTGGTCAAAGTTCCCTTGAAATGCTTCTGTTCGATATCGGAAATCGTCAATGCGATATCGCAAATGAACGTACTCGACAACATCAGTGATCCAACCATGTAATTTTCTTCTCGCCATTTGGAATTATTCGCCAGGCTCTTGAAAAACGATGTGAGCTTGTGGATCAGTAATAATCTGCCTACTACGATGGCCACGGACTGCAATTTGTCCGAAATTTGCTGATTTGGAAGGATTTTCGCAATTTTCGGATCTTTTTTAAGGAATTCGTACAAATTCTGGCGGATATCAACTGATGGCTTGGGAATATCTACTAAAATGCTGGAAATAATTTTGACAAATTCGGTCGGAATCGGATTTGAGAGATTTTCTTGGTTTTGGAGATGGGAATTGATATCTCTTATCTTGTTAATGATATATGAACCGGGTTCGTTCATATTTGAACTGGTTTTTGAAGGAATTGTGATTTTTAATTTGTCAAAAAGCATTTTTATGTCAGGAGGACAGGAATCCTGTTGTGATGCTAGTTGTAGTGATTGCATCATTGACGTTGGTGAGGAGTTCGTCTGTAGAAACTCATTAATTAAAGGACCAGCAATATTAAACTTGAAAGAAGTGGATTTTGTTGGAGGAAGATTGATTTCAGGGTACTTTAATATCATATCATCTGTATAAGTCTTCTGATAACGGCTAGAATCCTGAGAATTAATAATTGAATTAAATTGTGGTTTAATTTTCTTCATAAACAAAGGTGTTCGCATTCTTCGTGAGCTATTAATGTAAAATATTCGCCTCTTGATCGGTAAACCGAATGAAATTAACTCTCTTTTCAGACTTGCCTTTTCTGGAACTATAACCGGTGAAAATTTGAGAGAAACCGTGTTCTGCGAAATTTCCATTCTTTGGTTTAGTTCAGGGGAAATGAATTTGGTCTCTCCAAAAATAAAATCTTCATTTTGCTTCGGAAGTTCTTTTGCAAATGAATCTTCTGTAAGTGGTTCCTCTTTTTGGCTATTTTTCTTTAAAATGGCAATGTAGAGAGTAAGAAAACCAAGAATTAACTCGGAATCTGAAGAAAATAAAGTTTCGTGGACATCTTTCTCTCCTGATGCAGAAAATTTGATTGCAAATGGATATTCTGAAGTTCTATTCGGTGATTCTGCATCAACTACAACGCTTCTGTAAGAACTACTTTTTATAAAGTTTGTTGAGTCGAAAGAGATATCGTCAACCGAGAAAACGCCTTCTTCTGTACTAAAATTATTAGAACTGTCTTTAATTTGTAAAATAAATTTTGGAAATTCGAAAACTGAAGTTTCAATATTTTTTCTGACGCGATAGAACCTTGAAAAGAACTTGGTGACTAATTCTTTTGATTGGAACATGAAAATATAGTGGTCTTTACACCCGGTTGTTGCTGGAATTAACTCAATACATTTTTTTGATTCGGATTTAATTCCAATGTAATGATTAATAAATATTGGTATTGGAAGTTCATCTTTCTTATCTGATTTTTTTGTTAAAAATATGAAAGGACCGTAAAATCTGACGTGAAATTCTGAATTTACATAAGAATCAAAGTCATATGACATTAAAACAGATGCATCTAACTCAATTATTTCATCGCAGATTGAGGGAAATAGTTGTTGACATATAATATCGTGACGCATTGTTCAATCTGACAAAAAAATCTCTTGATCTGTCAGAAAATATTTTGAATAAATTGGAAAAAATTTGCGGAAAATAGTGCATGTTTATATACTTAAAAAATGGAATTGTGAAGAAAAATTGAATTGTGGAAAAAAATAAAAAATAATTAAAAAAAATGAAATTTGTGTAAAATGAGTGTGATGGTAATTTTAGTTTTTTCCACGATTCAAATTTTTATGGAATTTTTAAATTTTTCATAAATACTAATGTCTAATCAAGACTTTCATCCAAACAAATACAGTGAATTGAGAAGTATCTATAAATACTACATCGATTCATACAATTCACTGTATCAGTTAAAAACTGACAAAGAAGAAGAATTAAACTCGATTTACAAAATCATCAAAACAGAATTGATTGATTCAAAGAAATGCATTCCTCAAAATATAATCAGAGCTATTTTATATATCATCCCGTATAATAATCGTTATACAAAGTCATATTTATCTCTTGCCAAACTCATATCGGATGATTATCATATCAAAGAGGTCAACAATGTTAGACTTATTTCAAACTTTCTGTTTTATAAAGAATATGGAAATAAATTAGACACATCTGCTGATTTCGAAAAATTAATAACAAAAAATCTAGATATTCATACAAAAGATACAATTTACAGAGCAATTATGTATAATAACAAAGATAAATTCATCATATATACTGAATCAGATGAATTTGTTGAAGATCAAAAATTTGTAAGCTATTTATATCCAGTTGATGGAATCTATTCATTCCTTGAATTATGTTGTTACCACGGAGCAGTTGATTGCTTCAAATTGTTAAGAACGAAGTTTAACTCACAAATAACTAAAAAATGTCTCGAATTTTCATTTTTAGGTGGAAATCAAGAGATAATTAGTGAATGTTTAAAATTTCAAACACCAGATAAAGAGTGCATGAAATATGCAATTATTTCACACAACATTGACTTTGTCACATTCTTGATGAACGAATACAATATAATGATCGATTTAGATTATTGCGGAAAATTTAAAAATCTTGAATCATTTTTAGTTTATTTCGATCAAACTAATGATATTAACAACTGTTTTGTTTATTCAGCGATGTTTGACATTCCGTCACTTTCGGAATATTTCTTATCGCATGGTGCAAATATCAATACAAAAAATAAAAATATAAAAACTGCTCTTTACATTGCAGCAGAAATTAATGGCAAAAAAAATGCCGAACTTCTAATTTCACATGGTGCAAATATTAACGAAACTAATGTATTAAGACAAACCGCTCTTCATAGAACTGCACCTTATAACAGTAAAGAAACAGCCGAACTTCTTATTTCATATGGTGCAAGCATCAATGAAAAAGATTATGATGGAGCAACCGCTCTTCATCATGCAGCATTTCATAATAGTAAAGAAACAGCCGAACTTCTTATTTCACATGGAGCAAATATCAGTGAAAAAGATAATGATGGAAAAACTGCTCTTCATCATGCAGCATCTCATAATAGTAAAGAAATAGCCGAACTTCTTATTTCACATGGAGCAAATATCAATAAAAAAGATAATGATGGAAAAACCTCTCTTCATTATGCAGCATCTCATAATAGTAAAGAAACAGCCGAACTTCTTATTTCACATGGAGCAAATATCAGTGAAAAAGATAATGATGGAAAAACTGCTCTTCATTATGCAGCATCTCATAATAGTAAAGAAACAGCCGAACTTCTTATTTCACATGGAGCAAATATCAATAAAAAAGATGGAGATGGAAAAACCTCTCTTCATTATGCAGCATCTCATAATAGTAAAGAAACAGCCGAACTTCTTATTTCACATGGAGCAAATATCAATAAAAAAGATGGAGATGGACAAAGTCATCTTTAGTATTCAGAATGCGGAAATTATCATTGATCACCTTGAATCTATAGATACGTATTTTTCCCAAGTGAGCGAGGCATCTTCAATCCCAGCTCTAATGTCCTCCCAGTGTCAGTTTTTAATATAAAACCCAAGATTTTTTTCAAGAAATTTTAATAGCTTTTTTATATATGGCCACAAGAAATTTCAAGGAGAATTTTATCTATAGTGCAACATGTGATAAATCCATTATAATTGAAACAACAGAGAAAGCTACAAAGAAAAGAATCTCTTGTTTTAGAACAAATCGATGTTTTTCACAAAATATATTATTGCAATAATTTCTGCAAAGTTGGCCTTTTGAGAGGAAAATTGAGAACCCCGATGTATACTTTTTGACATTATCAAAAACTTTGAAAGGGCAAAAAAATAGTGTCAGATGGTTTTTAAATGTAAACTTTCTGACGAACAGACTATCAGATAGTACTCAAACTGCGGTTTTTAATTTCCGCACTTTTTTAGTGACCTTATATTGTATATGGAATAGAAAAAATAAGAAATAAATGAAAATTTATTGTTTATAAACACAAAAAATATAATATATAATATATTACATGAATTTCAAGATGTTATCATCTCCAAACAAATCTAAATCATTCTTATCCATATTACGATTATCTATAAAGTCTTCATGATGATCTGAATCATCATCCTTATCAACCTTTTCATCTTTTTTCTCTTCTTCTTCCTCTTCTTCTTCGTTTTCGTCTTGTGACTTTCCAGATTCACTTTCTGAAGAAAGGAAGTGTCTTCTCTTTGGCTTCCTTGGACTCTTTCTTATTGTTTGAGTTGGTTGTTCCATTTCTTCAGCTGTTTCTTCTTCTGAATTTTCTTTTTGAATTTCATCATTTTGAGATTTATTAGTTTCTTCTGCTGATTCTTCTTCATTTGTTTCTTCTTTAACAACTTCTGTCTTCTTCTTTCTTCCTCTCTTTTTAGGTGCATTGTTACTATTATCTCTTGGAATATTAACTCTTTCTCTTCTTCCTGGTTTCTTCTTCTGTTTCGTTGATTCTGTTTCTTTGATTTGATCACGAGCCATTTGACTTATATATTTCTGATATGTTTGTATTTGTTCTTGTGTTGCTGTTCCTTCATACATAGCTCGCTTTATTTCATCTAGTTGGTCTTGAGATAATTCAATTCTTTGTTCAGGAATTTCTTGTTTTTGTTCTTCTTGTTGTATTTGCTGAATTTGTTGGTTTTGTTGTTGTTGTTGTTGAACAGCTTGGTAATGATTACGAAGAATGGTACATGCGTATTGGTATTGTTGGTATATTTGCAAGTGTTCCTGCGTTGGTTTTTGTTTCAATCGAGTCAACAACTCTTGAATTCTTCTGATTTGAGCTCCCCAAATATTACAGTAGTTTTGGTATTGAACTAATTGTTCTGGAGTCAAGATTGGTGATGTTTGAACAGGTTGAGATTGAGAAGATTGTTGAGAATTTGTTTCTTCTTTATTTTGTTCATTACTTTTCTCTTCTTCTTTTTCTTGTGATTGTGATTGTTGTGTTTGCATTGTTTGGGTGATTTGTGGAATAGGTTTTGTTGGAGATGGAATTGGAGGAGGAAGTGGATTCTTTCGTGGTCTTCCTCTTTTCTTCGGTAAATTCGCCATCAAATAGTTTTGGTTCGTTGGAATTTGTGCTTGTGCTAAATTTGGAGATTTGGCGATCATTGAATCTATTGTTAATTGCTTTCCTTTCTGTTTGGACTTAGGAGTCAAGTCTCCGTCGATTTGAAGCTTAACTTCGTCGTTTTCGGAAATTTCTGCGTCATCATTTTCTGGATTTTCGTCTTCTTTGCCTGTTTGTGCATTTTGTGATGATGCATCTTGTTGGTGTTTCTTCATCTCTTGGTATTTGAAGTTAAGAAGTGCATTGTTCTGCAAATACAACATCTTTGATTCATAATCATTCAATTTGTTGAATTCATCGGCCGCTGTGTAGAAATCAAGCTTGGAGATTCTTGCTATGTGCATATTCTTGAGATTATTGTAGTATTGAATCTGTTGAATAATCTGAGAATATTGTTGGGATAATTGGAACATGTAGACGTTGTAATTCGTCTTGTCTGGATTGGCATATACTTGTTTGATGGCATTTGTAACTGTAATGTAGTTCGCTTGTACAAGAGTAAGATTCTTGAGTAAATCTGGCAGAGGAAGAATAGATATCTGGCTAGCGTACATGGCAGAACGATTCTCTTGTGGAGTATATGAATATTTGGCACGTTCTGCTGCAACAGATTCAAGTTCTGATTGAGGCATTTCTTCATCTTCAAGATTCGATGTGGAAAGCTTGCCTTTGAAGATAAGCCTTGGTTTCTCGGTTGCATCCTTGGCTTTTCTGGCCATTTCGTATTGCTTTGATTGAGTTATTTGTTGTAATAAATCAGATGACTTTTCTTCAATCATAGTTGAGGCAATAGTAAGTAGTTCTGATATCGAGATATCGCAGTATGAATCGAAATATTCGCCAAATCGTAAGAATAATTGTAAAGTTAAGGTTATCGCTTTTTCAGGGGTATCCTTGAGATAAAATGCGAGTAATTCTTTGAACAAAGGTATAACCTTGTCAGTTTCGTAATAGAGTAAAGCATCTGTAAAATCATTTTCGATATCTGCGACAGTTTCATGTTCGTACTTAACTTCGAAGTACGGAGGTATATCTGGCTTGTTGCAAACCCAATAGTTCATTGAATGTGACCATCTAACTGAGTAATCCTTGAAAAAGATAATTGGAGATAATTCTCCGTTTGGAAGTTCTTTTGTAAGGTCTACGTGATCAATTGCAGGCATATCGTTAGAATATGTCTCATCAAAGATCTTTGTAATTCTCGATCCAGACTCTAAATTCCAAACACTAACTTTCTTAAGGGAATTGATGCAAACAACCTTATCGTTATCAATTGCTTTCAAGTGAAGAGCCTTACCTTGCATAAGAATCGATGGAATGCAAAAACAACCGAAATTTTTATCAACAAAATGAATTGAGCCATCTTCTAAAGCAACAACAATCGTACTGCCGCATATGCATGCACATGAAGCTGGTGCTGCAATTTGAAGAGCTTGATCCCATAAATTTTTATTATCTTTTAATTTCAGAAGAAAATAACGATTTTCGTCGGATTTTATTTGATACCATATTTTTTTATCTTCAGGATCGACAATGTTAAATCGAGTTTTGCTTCTAGATTGATTAGGACGCGAGATAATTGTTGATGGAATTGGAATAACTTCCATACCAACTTCATTTTGAGTTGAAGTGAATGTTGAAAGTAAAATAGGATGAATTAAGTCAAAATCATCGTCGTCAACCTGCTGAAGCTCAAGAACATCTTGAGAAGAAAGCATCAGCGATTGTCACTTTTTAAACGAATACCGATCTGTTGAATTCCGAAGGATTGTAACATTTTAGCTGACCGTTTTAAGTTGATACATGTTTAAAACAAATAATATAACAATCAAACGCAAGTGTTTTGTTGATATCATGCTTTTTTTGTTTGATTACGATCAAAATCAACAATGATCTGTAACCAAGTAATATAATGCTAATTTATATGAGGTATAATTGAATATACATCAATATTTGAATATTTCTGTTGAAATTTAATCTTGAATAACGTGGGTGATTTTTCACCCAGCCGTAAGGGGCTCAACTTTTGAGAGTTTTACATGGCATTTGCCGGCAAATGCCATGTAATTTATTCTCAATTATTTCCCAGGGGGTGCAGGTGCATTTACCCTAAAATATTTGAGATAACTTTACATAGCATTTGCCGGCAAATGCCATGTAAAACTCTCAAAAGTGTGATCCTTATGGCTGGGTGAAAAATCACCCACGTTATTGATAAATATGTATTTTTGTGAGATAATGAAAAAAATCGTGTGTCTTTGTCTTATGATGTTTATTTTCGATGAATTATGATCCGAATAAAATTTACCGACCTGAGACCGTTTACTTTAGGATGTTAAAATTTAAAATGAGCGATTTTTCCTCTGAGGGTGAAGACTCTCCAGCTGATCAGATCAACCAGTTAAAGGAAGAAAATGAACTCCTTACTAAGAAAAATGCAACATTAGAGTCCCAAATTGAGCGTATGTTCGATGTTTGCAATTCTGTTGAAGCTGTTACTAACGAAAACACTAAGAACAAGGCAGCAATCAAGGATTTGACCTTGAAAAACGAGGAGTTGCAAAACAGACTTGATCATACATTGAAACAAAACCAAGAATTAAATGATTTACTAGAATCAGAAAAGAAATCTCACCAGCAGGCACGCAATGAAGACGCAAGTTCATTAAATAAGGAATTCGAACGCCTTGCTGATGATTATGTTAAGAAAATTAATTCATTGACAAACGAACTTCAAAATCTCAAATCACAGCAGAACACTGATATCATCAACCGAAAGGTTTTCAATTCTAAACTCGATAAGCTTTATCAGGCTTCTAAATGGCATTTTAATGTCGAAATTAATTCCATTGAGGAATTAACAAAGCTCCTACAATCCTCTGAAAATAAGAAACAAGAAGAGATTGTTATTGCCGAACCGCAGGATGATACAAATCTTAAAATACTTGTTGCAACTGCTAAACGTTACAAATCTAAAGCGAAAGCAGCATTACGTCAGTTAGAGCAACTCAGTAACGAGCTTGATGACAAGGACCAGATAATCAATACTTTGAACGAAAAAATCCAAAAGCAAGAAGACGAACACTTAAATGAAATCCAACAAGTTAGAGATGAGAACAGCTTGATTGTACAGAGTCTCCAGAAGAAGATTACATTAATGGAGAACCGCTGGACCCAAGAAAAGAACGAATTTTCCAAGTTTAAGCAAGATACAAAAATGAATCTTCTTTCTCAACGTAATCTTGTTCCAGAAGAGATCACAAAAGACAACAGTCCAGACGCTCATAAGATTATTACTCTCGAAGTCGAATTACAAGGTCTTAAATCACAATTAAATGATAAATCGAACCTTGTCAACAAACTAACAGCTGCCAAAGACGAAACTGTTGAGAAACTCTCCAAGGCCATGGCAGATAACAATAATTTACAGTCAGAACTCGAGAAAACTAAACTCGAATGCGATAATCTCCGAATTCTCTCCGAATCTTCCAAGAAAGAATGTGAATCCCTTCGTTCTTCACTTCTTTCCAAGCAGCAGACACAACAACAGCCGCAAATCGAGAAAGTTGTTGAGAAACCAGTAGAAAACAAGTCAAAACAACAAGTTTCTAAAAGAAAATACGATGATCTTTCAAACAAACTGAAAGAAAGTGAGAAACTTGTTGAATCCCTGAACAAACGTGTTCTTGAACTAGAAGATATATCATTAAAACAACGTGTTGAGCTTTCTTCTTTGAAAGACAAACTCGAAACAACGGAGAAAAGAGAGTTGAACACAAAACTCGATTTGCAGGAAGCGAAAGACAGTATTTCCAAACTTACACAAGCTGCAAAACAGCCCGAATCTATTAATTGGTCATTCCCTGATTTCGATGCATCTCTTCAGAATCAAATTGAACAAATTGGTCGACAGAAAGAACTCCAAAACCAATCGAAATTACAGAACATTTACAAGGTCATACAAAACTATTTCAAGCTGAAAGAGCTTTCCCTTGTTAAACAGAACCAAGATGCCAAAGAAGTATTCGACCGCTTGAGAGCATTCACGAATTCTCTCGTCATTGATTTCACTCTCCATTTGAATGGAAATCCATCAACATTGGAAGAATTCCTTGATTCAAAGCAAAAAGATGAATTAGTAATTAAACTCCAGAATTTGATTCAAAACAATGAATCATTAGTTCGTGATCTCAAGAACATGAATGAACAGATGAACACAATCAAATCTGTTTTGAATTTGCCGGCTTCGAGTAATTTCGAAAGTATTTCGACTCAAATTTCTCAACAACAAAAAGATATTGAACAAATGAAGTCAATTGCATCGAAATCTCTTGATTCAAAGCGTCAAATGAAGAAGGCAATGAATAAAGCATTGATTGCTGCTAACGAGATAAAGAGAGAATCCGAGAATACAGTTAGAGACATCAATGTTTTCGCTGATGACAATCAAAAGAAGATTGATCTTTTGCAAAGAACTGTTGAAACTCTTCGAACAAAACTTCATGATTCGGAACAAAACTTGGAACAGAAGACACATGAATTAGAAGATGAGAAAGACAAGAACGAGAAACTCCAAGATGATTACGATTTAGCAATTTGTGACACAGAAAACAAAGTTGAACAAAAATGTGGTGAAAAAATCAAAGAAATGGAAAATCAAGTTTCCAAAGCAGAATCACAAGCTAAATCATATAAACTACAATTGGAAACATCGCAGAAACTGTTGTCTAATGCAGATAGCAACATAAAGATCTTGGAACGCGATCTTGAACTCCACAAGAAGAAATTAGTTGATTTGTCAACAACATTTGAAGAAAAATTACAAACACAAAGAAATCAGTTAGTTGCAGTCAACAAATCAGCTATTGATGATCTCGAGAAGCAGATTAGTGATAGACATAAAGATATCGAACAACTCTGCCAAGAGAATTCATCAATTCAAAAAGAATTGAATGAGATGAAACAGAAATATCAGGCAGCTAAAATCGAACTTCGAAAGATGTCTAAATCATTGAAACAAAGTGAAGAAGTTTCATCAAGAGAGAAGAGATTATGTGAAGTAACTCTTCGTGCTAAACTTGCTGCAGCTGATTCACAATTCAATGAAAGAATCTCGTTGTTGACGAATAGTTTCAACGAAGAGAAGATGAAGATTCTTTCATTCGCAGCAGAATCATTCCCTCAGTATTTCTCTGGTTCAACAGTATTCGATGAACGCCAGTACAGATCTGTTGTTAAACAAGCAAGTGATGAATTGTCTAGATTGACTGAAAGCGATTCTACAATTCGTCGCTTGCTGTGTGCTTCTGAATCTCAATCAACAGTTGATGCAGTTGCACAAGCTATTATGTAATCTATAATTTTTATTTTTATTTTATTTTGTTTTGAATTTTCATATCTTTTTATTATTATTTATTGATCCTTTAAACACTTTGATATTTTAATAATTACAAAGCGTGTTTGAATGTGTTTAGTATCTCATTATTTCCTTGTGTTCTATTGAAGAGTAAAGTCAACTATATTTTTTATTTGTAAAAAATCCTATTATCTTCCCATTTGGTAAGGAGTGTACCTAGCGATGAATAAAATTCATCCAAAATTCTAGCTAATTGTGGTGGTGTATATATTATATTATGGTTGTTCAAGATTCGGCCACTTATTGAGGCAAATTCTTTTGAATCATATATAGAATGAACTATAATATCCTTGCGATAATAATGTCATGTGTTATGGTCGATACTGAAATCCATGAAAGAATCATTGAAGATTCCAAAAAGAGGTTTAAGCATGTAATTTTAATGAAAATCATTATTATAAAGTATGCATAACCTATTGTAACTGTGATATACATAAACTTACATATAATATAAAGGAGATTCTAGAATTAAGATAAATTTAGAGTGATCATAAAGAATATGAAAGAGAAGATGAATTGTGTTATCTATATAATATAAGAATAAGCCACTTATGAAAATGATATGAAGGTTTTATTAGAGAAAAAGGAATTTTTACAAATTTTGTTCTTATTTTGAAGTACTTGTTGAGGCATTGTACCTCAGATGAGGAAAAAATTTAAAAGATTATTACAAACAATCTTTGAAGACTTTCTTCTTCAATCAACATCTGATTGAAGACTTTGTTCCTCATCTGAGGTACTTGTTGAGGCATTGTTCCTCAGATGAGGAAGAGAAATAATATATTTAATAATATGTATGTGTACATCCCAGTCAACTAAATAATATGGGAATAAAAAATATTCTTTATTCTAATGGGCGCAAAAAAACAGATACGATCTGACCATATAATTTTATAGTCAAACCAAAAAGAAATGTTATTATTTTTGGATTTAATTTTAATCAGTTCCTTACTATGTAGAATCTTTAATTTCTTCAAAATTACCATCATTAATATCGATGTTTTTTCTTTGTCCGCCCTTTAAGTAGTAATATTTCGTTTTTTCGGTGGATATATTATTTTCCGAAGTTCTAGTTGTTTCTTCTATTAAATCAATATGATATACAATGTCATTGTACTTTGCTTTCCGAATATATTTGAATTTTTTGAATTTAATACTTTTGATTTCAGAATTATTTTCTTGTTGAGTTTTGTTTGATTCCATTTTAGTAAACGTGATATGTGATTCTGTTAACTGAGATGATTGTGTGTGATTTATTGTGCTTTGAGTTTGTTTTTGTATTACGTGTTTTTCAAATTTATAATTTTTGCTTTCCTTTGCAGAATTATTTGCTTGTTTAGAACTTTGATTCATTGATGCATTGTTGTCTGGTTGAGAGCTTTGAGGTTCTGATTGAGAATCTTCGGTAATTGAAGTGTGTGAAATGGGTGTTGTAAATGATGTTTCGAGATCTTTATAATTGCTTGTTACATTGGTGCATTCTTTAACTAAATTTAAAAGGGTATAATCACTCTTTTGTTCTTTGCTCATTTTTTTTGTCAATTTTTTTCTCTAAAATTTATCCATCATATTTTTATCTTTGAATCATATGTGAAGTAATTCTATTACAAGAAATATCATTAGCATCTGTGCCTGATGTTTCAGCATTGAACAAATTATGGCTACTCCACAAATGCTAATAACTCTGTTTTTCCAGCAAAGGGTGTCCAACAAAAATCTAACATTGATTTTGGCTTGAAACTCTGTGTGTGCGTAAGGGGGCCATTGGGAATTATATCGGTTATAGGGATGCGACGGTTTGAGTAGGGGTAATTTTAGCTAAAAGTGACACACCCGTGAAGGGTGTGATTACCGATCGGTAATTTCGACAGTTTAGAATTTAAAATTTTTTATGGAACTGTTGCGAGTTTCATAAAGAATTTAAGGAATATAAGCAAAGATTTGAATCAAAATCTTAGACCTAAGCCGCTCGATTCGCTCGCGGCTTCCGCGAATTACAGATCAGCAAAGATTTGAATCAAAATCTTCGAACTAAGCCGATCGCTTCGCTCGCGGCTTTCTTTATTATTTTAAATTTGCATATTTCCATCAAAAGTTCATAAGGTAAAAAATTTCGTTTATTTTTACTAAGAAAAAAAAAGGTTTTTGATAATAAATTTATTTTATTTCGAAAAAGTAGCAATAATCGTAAAAGGGTATTGATAGGCTTGCTAAAGTAACTAATTTTAGCTGTCAAATACTTTTGTATTTTGAAGTAAATTAGTATAAATTTGTTTTTACTTTTATTTCGAAAAAGTAGCAATAATCGTAAAAGGGTATTGATAGGCTTGCTAAAGTAACTAATTTTAGCTGTCAAATACTTTTGTATTTTGAAGTAAATTAGTATAAATTTGTTTTTACTTTTATTTCGAAAAAGTAGCAATAATCGTAAAAGGGTATTGATAGGCTTGCTAAAGTAACTAATTTTAGCTGTCAAATACTTTTGTATTTTGAAGTAAATTAGTATAAATTTGTTTTTACTTTTATTTCGAAAAAGTAGCAATAATCGTAAAAGGGTATTGATATTTATACCTCATTAGCTTATTTTGGCTTTCATATTCATTTAATAATTCACAATCTTCATTTTTAAATTGAAGTTTAACCCATTCAGGATTTAAATGATGTTTAATTAATCGCGGAATATCTGACATCATCTATATATAGCTTCTTTTATAAAAGATAAAAAAATAAATTATTTTAAAATTAATGTTAATTTTTTAATGATTTATAAATAAATATATTTTAATGCATCGTCTATATATAGATGTAACAAAAAAGTCACAAAACCCATTATGCATAATGCATTAATGGTTTTGTATGGTTGGTTGAATGGATTAGAATAATAGAATAAAATACAGAAATGATCATTTTGCAAATTATGGGAATGTGATAAGAATAAATCTTTAAATTTTGCAACATATAATAATCGAACATAAACAAGCATATTTATTGAAATAAATTCAAAATTTCGATTCGAACGTCATCAAATTTCAGGTACCTTCGAATTAATTAAATAGTAACAATAAAATCGAATTTGAAGGTTATAATGCTGTCTCAATCGTTATAATTAATTTTTTAGTGGAAAACTCCCAGGGTTCGAATCTATGAGACACTTCGTTTTTTCCAATTTGTTGGAGTTGAGATTTTAAAATCGTAAAATAATATTATCAATGGATCCTCATTAGCATAAATAATCATTTACTTCTCGTCATATAAAAACAGAATACACAATCAAGAAAAAATTAAAAACTTATTTAATTGCATTATGAATTGAAATACAAAAAAGAGCTTTAGAATATTATAGGCGATATATAATGTATTGCAATTAATTTATGATTGAAAAATGAATTTTATTGAATGACGTAAGGATATAAGGAGCAAGATTGAGATTATTAAATGTGTAAAAGGATATCTATAATATATAGAGTAGAGATGATGATTAAAAAATAAAAAAAAATTGTAATTAAACTATATTATTCAATTCTTCAGTATTGAAATGGTAAATAATGAGAGATAATATTTAAAGAAAAAAGGGAGTATTTAAAAAAAGGGGGGAAATGTTATAGTATAATTAGATTGAGGGGATATGAGCGAAATGATAGAGCAATGCAGACAATTGTGTCTGGTTCTATCATACCGGATACATTGCAAGTGCATTGTGCCCGGATTTGTTCAAATTCTCGCAAACACATTCTGATTGCGAGGATATGAGCGAAATGATAGAGCAATGCAGACAATTGTGTCTGTTTCTATCATACCGGATACATTGCAAGTGCATTGTGCCCGGATTCGTTCAAATTCTCGCAAACACATTCTGATTGCGAGAATTCGACCGACAAGACTGCATTGTCTGATCGTGTGATCAGGACACAGTCATACCGGATACATTGCAAGTGCATTGTGCCCGGATTCGTTCAAATTCTCGCAAACACATTCTGATTGCGAGAATTCGACCAACTACGTAAAACACTAAAACTTATTTTTACTATATCATTTTATTTGACATCAAATCTTTTTGTACTTCTATTATATTTAACATTTATATCAATCAATTGCTAAATCAGAGATTTTGAACCAAAACATGGATTGCATTTTCAAATTTAGCAATTTCTGAATACTTGAGTAATCTCAATAATGCCTGCCTTTCAGTATTCAAGTAATAAATTACTAATTAGAACAAATATAAGTGAAATAAGTCGGTGAAAACGAGCATCATTTGATATTACAAACAATTATTCGTAAATTTCTGGAATGTATGTTCGAGGAGATATATTCATTGATTTTTCTGAATGTTTATAAGTTTTTTGAGTCAATAGCCGAAGAATCTAGATTTCCTAGCATGAGTATGTTAAGTGGGCAGTAGAGAAATTGAGTAGCAAATCAGGCATTTCTGAATAGAATTTGTTTAAGACAAAAAAAAATTGATTCAATGTATAGTCATCTCAAAATCGCAGTTGAATAGCAATTCAATTTTTTGAGAGAAAAAACGTGCATGAAATGCAATATGATTTAATTATATTGATAATTCAAAATAAACATTTTGAATATTGAATAAATGTAAACATCTAATTTTGTTAGTCCTGTCTTTCTCATAAATTTATAACAGTATACATCATGAATTGCTTGGTTTTATTAAAAATTTGCAATTTGGGTCACATTTTTAATCATTAATATTTTGAAACTCAAAATCAAGACATTTTAATGAATTTTGATATATTACAGTTAGTTACTGCATCAATTCTGATGAAACAATGCGATTTCAATTTTCTGAACAAAAAATGCTCGTTTATTATTTTCGTGGTATGATGGATAAATGAATTAACAAGCCGAAAAGCAATCCCAAACTAGCAGAAAATGGATACTTTTCCATATGCGTTCAAAGGTCAAGTAGAATTTCTTAATTCGCCATCAAATTCAAATCATCCAGCAGGAAATGATTTGGAACTATAAATCTAAATTTCTAGTAACAAAGCTCAAAATTCTTCCAAATCAAAATTTTATTTTGGATTTTTTTCCAAATTACAAAATTTCATTTCGAAAAGAGGGTACTACATAGAAGCTAGTATGTATTCCTTAATTTCGACCCAAAATCAATTGGATTTCATTGATAATTCCTATCGTCTTATTTTCCAAAAAAACTATTTATTATCATTCTTTGTCTTGTATATAGATAGTAAAAATCTTCGTCTTAAAACTTTTCTTAATCTCATAGAAAAAAAAGCCCTCAAATTAAGCGTCCAGAGCCTTGCCCTCTCAATCAAAATTAGAGTAGTGAGGTTTACAAATCCCAATTCAATACACAGAGGTTTACATTTTATATTGAGGGGCCCTCACTACTGAGATTTTGGGAGCACTATAGTTATCATTAAGCTTGTTATCAAATAAGCTTTCAATGTGTCAATCCATCATAACATAAACAGCTATACTTTATCAATCCATGTTGCCTCCTAAGAACCATCTTCGGGCTGTTTATAATTGGCAATTTCATTAAATGTCGTTGTAAACTACTCACAGTAATAGAATAGCTTCTAAATTGCATGATGTCCTAAATTACGTATACATAAATGTACATAAGAAAATCTAATTTCATTTTGATTGTATCCAGCAAGAATTTTTGCTAAAAAGTCAGAGATTCAAATCACATTCAAATGATAAACACATTTTTAAAATATTCAATAAATCAGCTAATACAATTTTTCTGCAGAGATTAAATTTCAATCAGAAAATGCTTTCAAGGAGTTTTTTCACGAGTAATTTATCTTTTTCTTACTAAATAATATTTATTAGCTAAATGATATCAGAATATTGATTTAAAAGAAATTTGAAAGCTTATCTCAATGTTATTGTTTGATATCACCAGAAATAATCATTACGAAACATTTGAGAAAACACCTAGTTACGCTTATTATATATACTTGTTGTAGATAAATTAAAAACATTAATTATTTGAAAGAAATATAGAAATTCCTTATGCCAATATCATTTTTAATAGAACTTCAGAGATATAGTCTGCCATTTATTGAATATTAATAAAACAATAAAAATGGAAATCAAAAATTATTGCTTTTTAGACGAAGAAAGAATTCGAATTCAAAGTTTGTGTAATAATACTTCATTTCGTTTTTCCAAAAAAAAATCAAAATACATTTTTTCAGGTGAAAAATTTAATTTTTGATAAAATTTTTCTTTTTCCGATTTTTTTTTGGAAATACTAACAGTAAAATAGAAAGGGATAAGTACCACAATTTTATTTCCTATCAGATGATATGAGGGAATTAACGGTCATTTTTAAAATATATATTTAATACTTAATATTAAATCAAAAAGTATGGAAATTTTGAAACAAATGTATTACCGTGTGAACGTATGTAAGCTAAATCAGTAAAGTATTCTGATAAAAATAGTATAAATAATGTTTTTAGTCTAAATATCTTCAAATTAGAAGTGTAAAAATGTAATGCTAAGATTATCGTGTACAAATGAGATCCTTG